AGACTTTAAGACTCCACTTGAATATTATAAAACTTTTATTGAACATTGTACAATTTTCTTGCGTATTATAAACTTTTATTGAATATTGCATCTTATAATATAATATTCTCCAAATAAATATATCCCGTGCTTCGCACGGGTCACGTACTATATATATCCCGTACATTTTTCTTTATTCATGTATATAATTATAAACTTGGATAAATAGCCTTAAAATTGTGCACCCCGTGCATCGCACGGGCTCTGTACTAGTATATATATATATATATAAAACATATATAGAAAATCAAAAAATATTTACAAATATATTTATAATTTAAAACTATTTTCTATTCTATTTTAATTTAAATTAATATTTTTATTTATTTATTGAAGAATGTACTAACAATACTTATATTTTAATTATATTTTTAGATAAAATTTTGAAAATATTTACAATGATATACTCTTTCGGTCTTTTAATTGTAAAGTCATTTAGTAATTTATAAAATAGAGTAATTATTGTTACTTTTTCTTATGTTGATTTTTTTACTTTTTTTTGTGACAGTCACATATTTTTAACTTTATTTACTTTTTTCTTAAAAAAAAAAAAAACTCATTTAATAAACTTTCATCAACAAAATGACATGCAATGTGCTGCAAATGTTTAATTTAAATCAAATTTTCAACCAGAAAACTTATTTTTTTTCATAAATTATAGATGTTAAACTTAAATTATATAATCTCGATCATTTTTTTTTTTGTTTTGTTTATTTTTGTAGAAGTTTGAGGGTGATACGAATTATAATATTTTATAAAATTGATGATACACATATCGATATTTATATTTACTAGTAAATACATTTTTATATAAAATGAACGTTTCGACTTAAATTATAAGTTCGTTATTTAACATTTAAAACCGGACCCCCCTGAGTACAATTCCTAGATCTGTCACTGATCTCATTTCACAAACAAAATGAGCCCAACTGTTTGTCGCCCTCCCCCAAAACAGGAGTTGCCAAACATTCTCAAGATAATGGAAAATGAAAAAAATATAAATGCATCCCAAATTCAGTAACCACTTCTTTAGAATCCCCGAAAATAACTTTCTTGAAAAGAAGGGGGCAGAGCTAAACAAAAGAAATGAGGAAAGGCAACAAACAACACGAGAAGCTTATTAAAGACACCATCAAAAGGATTTAATTTTCTCAACTTGAGAATCAACATCTTAAAGGGCACATATTACTGCACAAGAATGGAGGATCAGCTGCTGTAGCTTCAACCTGTCGATCAGTTCCATATCAGGCAAATAGCTTACGATTATCAAATGGAAACCAATTGTCGCCAATTATGAACCTTGATTAGGGAACCTTTTAACTCACAACATGCAAGAATCCATTGGATTCATCATTCCTGTTCGTAACAGAACAATCTTAAAGAGTAGTCAGTTATTCAAAACAAAATACACAACAATAAACAATTCATTCAACAACCTACCTGGAAAATAATGGGAAAAAATATACATAAGAAATTAAGAGCTAGCATAAAGATATACAAAACAAATCACAGAACATATTTTCATTCATATTAACAGATCAAGAACAAAGCAACATAACAAGAGCTAATCCAGGCAAAATAATCAGAGATTCCTAACTGGCTAAAGAACCACAAAGAAAAAAAAAAAACGATAATCTTGAAACATTATCGACAACACAACACCATACTAAATTCGAGCAACAATAGCTCTTCGAAGACTATAAACACAAAAGATTCAGAAAAACGAAAAACACCCTTAAATTTTTACTAGCAAGACAGTATCGTGCCTCGAAAGGCATGAGCTGAAAACCACAAAGGCAGAGTAGCCGTGTCCTTCACTGAATACATCTCCATCCAAATGCGGGTTTTCCTCTGATACACCAAAACCTGCTTGTGAGTGGCCAGGAAAACACACTTGTTCGTCTGGCTAATTGGGAAAACCCCAGGAACCATCCCTCTAATGCACCTAAGACTAACCCTATCCAGCATACACCATTTTTCTCCCTCATAATCCTCCATAACCCATATACTCATCCAAACATCCGAAATCCTAACAACCGATAACATCCCTTCCGACTCCAACAAATAAACCCGATTCCCACCTTCAGCCGTCACCTGATCAGGCAAATGGATTTTCTTCCAAACCTCGGAATTCAAATCGAGGACGAGCACACAGGCGCCACTCGACGTCAGCCAATGCAAAGCCCCGTTTATGAACACAACCTGATTCTTGTTCATGTGGGTAAAATGGTCATCCTGCAAAGTCACAAACTTTCTCCACTTGTTGGACTCGGAATCAAACACCATACATATGAATGTCCTCTCGGGCCTGTGGCCGAAGGCCCGGTGATACCCAGCCAACACCACATTGTACTTGCGGGCCGAAATGTTGCAGGCCAGGCCCACGAGTGTGGCTTCACCATCTGGGTAGAATCGGGTTACGGGCCTTTCGCGGGTTCTAGGGAGCAACCTATACTCCCTAGTCATTGGGTTGCAAACGTAATAAACCCCTTTATCAGGGATGCTTGAACAACACAACAAGCCGTTGCAGGAAGCTCGGATTTTGACCCGATCCTTGATGAAATCGAGGGAAATTTCCGAAACCCCTCTCAGGTTATCGACCAGAATCAAACTCGGCCTGGATTCCGAGGAGGGGTTGCTGATTTCCACCAGCACCATAGGATTTCTGGTCGAGATCTCATTATAAAGCTTCGTGAAATACCTGTCGGAGATTAATCGGTGCCAAGATTTGCACACGCATTTGGTTCTGAACAGAGATTTCACGGGCAACCTCGACAGAATCTGAAGGACGACCTCGTCCGGGAAAAACCCGCACTTCGAGCTGAACGAGTTCATCCTTTGATTTCATAAATTGACGGGTAAATTGAACAAAAAGGAATGGGGGAAATGATATGCGAGGCACTTACTCGATTGAATCCATCAAGCTGAAGGCCCCGAAATGCGAAAATTTCTCCGATTGAAGTTCGAGGAAGAGCATATTGGCATATGCTCGATAACTTTTTCTTCAATGGTTTCTGGATTAAAAGTTGAAGATAGTTGCACTTGCACTGCACGTGAGCAAATAGCTATTTTGACCCGCTCCGAAAATTGATTAATTGCGAAACAAATAATGGGATAACCTATGTAGATTAAACTAGTGTATACCCGTGCGATGCACGGAAACAATATTAAATTAACAATATTATAAATAGACCTCGAGTTTGAGTGACTCAACGACCGAAGTGGAAACTACTATTGATCCTATTTAAAAAGAGGAAGTAAAAAAAATAATTATAAATTAAAGAGGATGATAAACAATACTTAATAATTATAAATTAAAGATTCGGGGTCAAACAATATAAAATTATTGTGTATAAGATAATATAAAAAAATTTGATTACACACTATTTCAAAATTATTATTATACTTTTTTGTATGGTTAGCTTATAATATTTGTAAAAATATTAGCTTCTTAAAGTAGATAATGGATTTTCAGTAGTAATTATGAATTAGTTTCTATTTTATTTTATTTTTTCTTTTTAAAGATAATGGATTTCTAGTACTCCCTCCTTTTCAAATTAGATGTCGTTTTGACTTTTTTGATTCATCTATTTTGTTACGTATCTAGACATTAAATGCCTACATACGTAACAAAATAGATGAATCAAAAAAGTCAAAACGACATCTAATTTGAAAAGGAGGGAGTAGTAATTATGAATTGGTTTCTATTTTATTTTATTTTTTAAAATCTGTATAGATAAGGGATGAAATTTTTTAAACACGGGAAACGTATGCAATGAGATTTTGTAACAGAAGAAATAAACGTGTAGATTTATAACTAAAAATAGGAAAAAGAAAAACAAATATTTATTGTCAAACAACGATTTTGATAAACTAAAAAAAATGAGCCGATTTTTTTGCCTATTTAGATTTGTCCAACAATTACTATATTAGGATATATTTAATGATTTTGGCGGGAAAATGTTTCTAAATTTGTAAAAAAGTTATTCTTTTTATATAATGATAGATTTATCACACCACCAATTTAGCATAAATTTTATGCCACTCAAACAGGCCATAAGCCATGCCACAATATAATGTGTCATATGAAGTGACTTTATTAATTTTTATTATCATTTCTATAGTATATATGACGTGGCTTTTTTTAAAGATTTCCAAATCAAAATCAATTAAGAAACAAGATTGTTCTCCAAAAGCAATTCAAGTGCCTGTCTTCCCAAATCAATTAATGGGCGGCATCCCCGATGTTCAGGGTCTTTATCCGAAGCTCGGCTTGAAAAACCCGCCACAGGTCCTGAATTTATGTTAAATTTCACCGTAATTAATGAATTAGTTTTTTTTTTTTTTTTNGAAAAGTTCAGGTGATGTTACAAAGTTGTTGTATACCCTCTGCTTGTATCTATTTGGTTGTCATTTGAGTTCGGTAGAATGAAAATTAGATGCTTGATCGGGAAATGAACAACTTTGGATATCATATTGGTTTCGTAGTTAAACTTTAAACGATTGAAAAGAAAATGAGCTTTTGTTTTTCAGGTTTATGAGGCCCTTGAACATAGAATAATGGTTGCAGATTCCTTTTGGAGCACAACAATTAGCTAAGCATGTTAATATGTGATGAACTTTGCATTTTATCTTATGAAATTCTTTAAAAATCTCTAAACAAGCAACCTCATTTATGCCATGGAATTGATAATTAAAACTAATAAAGTCACCTCATATGACACATCATATTGTGGCATGACTTATGGCGCCCAAAGGCGCCATAAAATTTCTGACCAATTTAGTGTCAAACAAATTATGTGATAACTTATATATGTGGCAGACAGATAGAAACAATTGAACAAATTATGCGATAAACTATCTAACATGCAAAATTAATTGAGCAAGTGCAAAACAAGAAAGACCAAAATTTTGTATTGGTGTCTTGGGAAAAATTATAACTTAGTCTCATGTTATTGCGGCCTTGAATTAATTGGTTGTGAAACCCGGTTGATTGAAATATTGAACCACGAGCCTCTGACCAAGCCCTGGTCGGGAGCAGCCATGCTAGTGGTGGCCGAGTACGCACACCTGTGCCGAGAGATGACTGGAGTCAGCCGAGTAGTGCAATCAGGCGACAAGGGCGTCGACGCGCAGTGTGCAATCGCGCCGAGTCTGCTAGCCGCTTTCGAGTCGCTGACGGACCAAGCGCGCGCCGCGCAGCGTTGCAAGCGCTGTCGAGAGCCTGAGAGTTGCTGCATACAACCACTGTCCAATGTGAAACAGCGACCCAACATCGTCGAACGCGCGTGAAGCTCCCAGAACAGAGTACTTTTATAGATTCATTGATACTTTTATAATAGTATAGATATAGATATAGATAGATAGTTCATAAAAATAACTTATTTATTGTGGAAAACGGATACTAATTATCGTGTTTTATAAATTATCTATATATGTTGTTGAATTTACCACTCACACATAATACACATACGAAACAAAATGCTTATTATTTGACATAAATTACCTATATTTATAAAGAAAAACATATATAGCAATGACTAAGAAAACATAAAGCAAGTTCATAGCTCATTCTCGTAACAAAAGAAAAGAAAAACAGTACATGTCATTTATTGAAAACATTATCATTACATGATCCTTTGATGCACACACGGCTAGTGAACTGAAAATATTGGTTACATTCATTTGTCAATTCTCAAATTGCAATAGAGAGGAGATCATACTTGTCTTCCTCGAAAATACACTGCGCTACATCACAAACGATGTTTGCATTGTTGATCTTCGGTAGTGTTTTTGTCTTAATCAGTTCCAGAATGACAATTATTCGTTGAATTAAAACTTAGTACTTATATTTCTAAGAACATCATTATTGTACGTGATTATTATCATTATTGAAAATATAAGATTTGTATTGACTCGACGACCCTCTGTCATTTGTGGGTTTGAAGAGGTTGACCGGTCAAATAAGAGTGGATTAAGGCTCTGCTCTCGTTCGGCTTGTCAGAAGGCACCGAATGGCCTGCCCCTTTCACGGTTAAATACGTCAAGCCTTCGTATTCCACCATCTTTCCTGCTACCTACAAAGTTTATTTTAAAAATTATATATTATTATTCTCACAAAATAATTTTGAGACAATTTCCTTTTACACTAACCTGATGATCACAATACCAATTAGTCCAATTACTTTTGAGTGTTAGGTTAAGATTTTCCACACAGTATCTTGTACCTAAGAATGGGACACGAGCATCTACGTCCCCACTGCATAAAACCAACACCACAAAGATAAAAAAAAAAATTTAAGAGTAAAAATTAATGAAAAAGTCCATGCTACAATAAATATGTAGCAAATATACTAGCTACAAATTTTATTAAAATTAAAAAGGATAAAAAAAAAAAATGGGTACCTATACATCCATATCTTCAGACCTACATTGATGAGCTTCTTGTATATCGGCAACACGGAAAAAATGGAGCGGTTGTATGTTGTTCCAGACATAGTATAACTGCAACAAATGACTAATTAAATAAAAAAAAAGTTCTTTTAATTTGAGCTAAATATATATAATTACGACTTATCTTAATACTAACTTGCATTCTTGCCATTTTACATGTGGTCCATTAACATGAAGTGCCTTTTGAACGTCTTTCCTGTTGAAGTACTTTCTAGTGTATAGGGATACGAGAGAGCACGGATCATAACTCGCCGATAAGCGGCCGAATAAATTTCCCTAACAAAAAAAGAAGCAAAATTACAAAACCGTCCTTGAAACTTGTTGCGATTGGGGGAATAATAAAAACTTCCACAAAGTATTGCATGCCTTTGTATTATTATATGAGTTGTTGTTTTGAGTAAGGGCAGTATTGGCAAGACAAGTAGGGGCATAAACGTTGTAAATGTCCATGTCTTTATACTGTTCCCACATCATAATTATGGCGTCATAGCACGTGTCTGACCAGTCATCATTACTGAAATCACACGACTTTTTTGCCACATAATAGTTTTCATCTGATATAATCGCGTGGCCCCACGCGAAGTCGAGTGCGCCTTTTTTATCAAATTCGTCACTAATTTCAGGGTTTCCTACCTGCAATACCCATTAATTTAATCATGTTATCTATTAATAGGTAATGAAACAAAAAATAAAAAATCAGCTATATATCAATTATCATTCTACAATAAAAAAATGAAAATTCATTCGGAGGATATTTTTAACCTTGTTTACAAACGAAACAACGTATTATTTGTGGATTTAAACAACAAAAGACAATATTAGGAGGAACAAGGTCAAAAAACATACAATAAATCCTTTGAACTTGATATATGGATATTTATTCGTATTCTTGTTCCTGTCATACACAAGTTCAGACAGCTGAGGCACATAATGACCTGCAAACATTATTCAACATCTATTTCTCAATAAATTTATGTATATATACAACAAAAATACGCAGAAACATTTATTATGACACAAAATTAATATAATTGAAGCTCATACGACCTGCATAACTCTCCCCTGCAATAAACAAATCGCACCCTTGGAACTGTTGAAATTTTTTCAGCCAGTTAACCAGAAATGTGTAGGTATCCTCAGCTGTGGAGAGAAAGGTATATATATATATATATATATATATATATTTATATATAAAGAAGTTAAAAGATAAAATCTACAAATAAGTGACTCTCAACCTTGTAACATTAAATAACAGCTACAAGGTTTTTAGTTAGTATATTGGAATTTGGAAAGTTAAGTGATAAAACAATTTACCAACAAATTTGTCATCCATATTGTTGAAATCATTTGGTGTGTTGGTGTATGAGAACCCAACCCCAACTGGTGATTCTACAAACAGCAAATTGGCCTCTGTAGGACATGCAAATTGTTGATGATCAAAGATAAATCATCATTACAATAAAGAAAATGTATTTTTATTTTTACAAAAGACTAATAATGATTCCATCTTATATATGATTAAGTTGTGATTATAAGACCAAATTACATATGCAAATCCTAATATCTTATTTCGACATGAGAGGAGGGAAAAATAAAATAAATAATCACAACCTTTGTGCCAAGATTGATGATTATATTCAAGGCCTTTTTCGACAACTCTAAGAGGCCCCAATTCTAAAGCTTCTCCAAATCCAATTGATGAGCATCCAGGTCCTTCACAAAAATAATTAAAAAAATAATCTGCAAATTTACTATACAAACCTTTTAATTATCACCATGCATGCAATAATCTAAAGTTACTATATTAGCTCAAACAAAAAAATGAAGAAAAGAATGGCAGTTGGTTAATATATATTGCCTCCATTGAGCCAGAGGAGAAGGGGCTTTTTGGTTGGCTGAGATTGAGCCATAAAGAACCAATAGAAAAGGTTCCTCCCATGACTTTCATTAACTGTGATATAGCCTGAAAATTGTGAAAGAGGAATATTTGGTTGGCCAGGTAATCTTTTTACTCTGCATTGCTCATGTTGTTCTTCAGACAACTCTATATATGCTACAACAAAGACAAAAACACATAACAAGATTTTATTTTGAAGTATAGTTTTTGATGCCATGTATGTAATGTTTCAGTGTGGGAAAGTAGAAGTGTTATTCAATATGATTTCTTTCTTAAATGCGTGGGATCTATTTATAGATTTCAAATATTGAGTAGTTATTCTATAATATGTAGTTCATGTACATGTATATGTACAGATTTTTCAAGGTGATTATTAGAACTTCATTTTCTAGTCTATATAACAAATTGGAACCTCTGATATACTAAAACGCATTTTTGGCTTTGTTATTCGATTCACTAATCTACGAAAAATCATCATCGTAGCTACAAAAAAAGGTATTGGCCTTGTTTGGCGATCAGCAGATAGCGAATTATCGTAGCTGATTTGACCAGCGGATTGCATTAGCGGTTTTTAAATAAATGTTTGGTAAATAGTTGAAAGCTTATAGCTGTTTGACATTGCAAAATGACCAATAAGGACATTTTATTATTTAGGGTGTATTCTTTTACTAATAATATATTAAAACATTTAATACTCTTTAGTTGGTAATTTATAAATATATATATTTTTTTTTCAATTTACTAACACTTGATGAAAAAGTTATGAATTTTACATTTTTCTAGATAAATCAATCATCTGGATGACATATTATTATTTATTAGCTCCATAAACCAATGTAAATTGTAAAATAAATAAGACAAATTAAAAAGTTCCAAGTAAAACCTCTCAATTGTGAATCCTCTATCCCAAAAAGTTGCTCTAATTAGCTTTTTCTAAATTAGAGTTTTGAGCTCAAAAAGCTTATCAAATAAGTTATTTACCAAACAAACTTAATAGCGGATTTGACGGGTCAAACCTCTCAATTAAGTCCAATCCGCTAATTTATCTTTAATTCGTTATCTACCAAACGGGGTTACCTAGTGTCCCTTCGGAGATCGAAGGTCTCATCTTATCCATTGTTAACAAGTGTCTCATCGGAGATCGAACCATGGATTTTTCCAACTTTAATTACCTTTCTAAAAAGAATATAATCTATGCTTCAAATGGTAGCTTAAGATAAAAGATCACATTTGGATAACTGATATTGAAGTTTCATTTACCGACAAATGTGCTCTGACACATCGCCATCAATGGTTAATTTTAGATAAACCCTTATTCAAATACTACAACAAAATAATAAAATTTTAACAGAAATATATCTAATGGAATTCCAACGGCAGTTTCAATTGATATTTAAATGCTAATATTTTTGTTGGAATTTTTTAACATATTCTAACTGAAATTCGCAAACATTCCGTTAAAATGAGTTTTTTATTGAAAATTTTTGTTTGATTTTGACGATTCCGACGGTTGAAATGTGAGTGGAAATTAAATTTTAAAAGAAATTGTATATCCCAATGAAAATTCCCACGACCGTTGAAAAAATAGTCGTTGAATAATCAAGTTTCATCTAAAATTCTAATGGAAAACTTATTCCGACGAAATATTTTTATTTGAATTTCTTTTGGAATCATTCCAATGAAAGTTATACCATTGGAATATTCGTCAAAGTATATTATTGTTGAATTTTTCATTTAATATGACAATTTTTTTATAGTAAAAATCAATGAATTACCTCTAGTCTCTATTTATAAAATTTCTAGTTTTTTTCATTTTTGTATTTGCAATGAATAAACATTTCAATTGCATTATTTGGATAAAATTGACACAACTCTATAAATTGCAGAAAATGGGATACGACAAAAGTTAACTGCATTTTTTTCTTCTTCTCAATCCTACAAAGGATAGATTATTTTATTTATTTAATCATGTTATATAGATTCAGTAACTCTATGGAATCATCGGATGACTCTCTTATGGATCCATAACTTTATGTATTGACACGGGTCCAATGTGTATTTATTGCAGGACACCGTATCAATACATTATTTGTGGATAACTATGGATGGCTGCATAAGTTGAGCCATCCGATGTTTATATAGCAAAACTGTAATATAGATATAGATAACTTTACAAGTATAATTTTACAGCATCTAACATTACCCTTTAAAAAAACGCTCTAATATCACTCAGAAGTAAGCTATTCCATTTCCTCCTTTCCTATAGGCCCGTATGTTGAGTCACATACTAATCATTAAGGTCCTATACCACTGGTCTATATACAAAAATTCTATGGAGTCATCAGATAGTTTTCTTATGGAGCCATTCACTATTTAATGTATTGACACATGTCTAAATTGTATTTATTGCAGGACACGTGTTAATACACTATTGGTGAATAAGTGTGGACTAGTACGACACCCGTGTACTACACGGGTTGTTTGAAAAAAAACATAAAATAATAGAAAAAACACATGTTGTCGTGTAAAAGTGCAAAAATAGAAAATACCAAAGTCGATATTATTTCAAATTTTGAAAAATTTCTTTGTATACTACATTAATAGTTTTATTTATAATTTTTCCATCCTTATCGCAACACATAATTTTCAAACCTCTCCTACTTTTAACTCTAGATACGCAACATAAAGTTGACCATGACTGAATACAGGATTAGGCAAGTACAATCTGACGTTAGACAATGTCAGTCCTTGACTCTTATTAATAATCATTGCAAAACAAACCATAAGTGAGAATTGTTTTCGTTGAAACTTTAAAGGCAATCTCACATCAGAAGGAGTCAATAACATCCGCGAAATAAGTACTTTGCTCCCAATATTCCTTCCCGATAGAACCTTAGCCTCCACAATGCGATCTCCAAGTTGAGTGATGACTAACCTGGTGTCATTACACAACCCATAAAATAAATAATGATTATTTATTAAAGTTATCAATTTTTCTTTCTAATTAAAAAGTAAAAACATTACAATAATGATAGATAATAAATTAGTTAATATTTAGGAATGTATAAATGCCAAAAAAAAAAATAAAAGAATGGTCGAGTGATCACTCACTTGGTGCCATTACACAATCCAGAAGATTGATCCATATTTCGAAGCAGCATTACAGGAATACCAACTTTCAAGTAGCTCATTTTATCGGAGCATGCTTTCTATGACTTCACTTCGCTTTGCTTCATTCGTTGGGGAAGAAGCGGGGTAGAGGAATTGGCCAACTCATCAGGCTCACGACCTGAAGACTGCAGGTTCCAATCCTGAATGAGAGGGAAATATTTGAGTGTTTGAGTATATTTAAAAGAGCTATTTTTTTGTAATTTTTCTTTTTTCGTGGGTGTTTTTCGGACATTAAATGGTGAATTTATAAATGAATAAAGTAAAAAGACAATAATTTCCTTTAGCCAACTAAGGGGTTGATATCGTTTTTTGTGAAGGATCAAGGTTGCCAGATTTTCTCTCTCTAAGTTTTTCTCTCCCAAATCGGAGTAAACACTAGCCGCATTTTGTCGTCGTTCAGCTTCCTCTCTGCCACATTCGCTCCCTCTCCGCCGATGAGGCGACCCACACCGGGGTGGCGATGAGTCTTTTCACCCAGCCCTCGTCCTTTTTTGAAGTGGCGCTCTCCCAAGCCTTTTTATGGCCACGATGGGTTCAGCAGGGTGAGGACGATGGGGTTGTCGTTGCCGGTTTTATCTACCGCCTCGGTGGTGGTCGGGTCCGTGACCAACGATTGGGTGCTCCCCTAGATCTGTGTCATCCCTGTGTTTACCCACACATGCGTGGGCCTTTGTCATCGAACGGTCTCTACCTTGATCGAATCTCGAACGATACAAAATTTAAAATTTTACAAATTTCATCTCAAGAGACTCGTAGGTCTCGATGAATTACATTTCTTCAATCATATTGAAAAACATAATTAAACATCTATTCATTCATTCAATCATATTGAAAATGAAAACATACATTCAATCATATTAAATATGAGGCTCATGATCATCCCTAAATCATTCATCTAATGAATAATCATTTTTTTTTTATTTATCTCGCGAGATAAGTCGCGACTCGCGAGAAAAACTGAGGCTCCATTAAAAACTGAAATTATCATGTCGTGACTCGCAACTATGACTCGCGACTCGCGACTTCAGAAATTTTTTTTTTTTTTTATTTTTTTTTTATTTTTGTTAATTAAAATATTTATCTCATAAACATTTAATTATCTTGCTTATCTCATAAGCAATAACAAATCAAAACCTGTTTTAAAGACGATAACCGTGGCTCTGATACCACTGTTGGGTTCGCTAGTATCGTACGGGCTTTAAGCAGCGGAATTTAAAATTTTTCAAAGTAAGTATTTATCGTATAAATACAACACCCGTACATACTAATTGCGAATTAACTGATCGTCATCTTTAAAACATGCATCATATACAAATTTTGATTTGTTATATAAAAGTAAATACCAATACAAATATTTACCGAATGTCTTGAACTCCTTCAACGACGATGTGGATTGTGGGAATCGGTTCCCGGTTTGATAACTTCAACGGATTGAGTTTACTCACTTTAGGAATCCAAGTGTCTTCCCTCTAAACGTATCCACCCTATGAAGCCCGGTTCCGACAACCTTCCTTCGCTAGTAGGAATGTCTCGGTTTTCTTGTATAGGAATATGTATGAATTTTATTTTCGGAAATTTCAAGAACTCTTTCTTGATGTTTTATGAAGAACTATTCTTCTTTCTAACACTTAGAAATTTTAGGAATGAATTCACCTTAAATGCAAAACCATTTTGCATCTATTTATACTAAACATTTTAACATAAAATAATCAACATTTAGTAATATTTAAATAAAATCAGATTTTATTTAAATAATATCTACTAACTATTGACTTTGAATTTACTAACTATTGACTTTGAAAATAATAAATAATGTTAAGTTGTTCAAACCACCTTTAACCACCATTTTATTATAATCATATTTATTATTTTAATCCTTAAATCATATTTAAAGATAAAAATAATAATAGAATAATAAATCTTGAGAATCTTTTCAAGACTTTATTATTATATTCATTTTCCCAATTT